CCCATTCATCGTGCCACCGTGACGCCGTATGGCATTAGATCATAAACAGGAAATTAGCGGAATTGGCTGCATTAGTCCATTAATATTTTCTTGCAAGACAAATCTAACGAGCCCATTTAAATTTCAGTATGTTTAATTGCGTTATTTAATTTGAAAAGGTAATTAATTACATTACTTGTAATTAACACTGGTTATCAGGTAGTCCAGTAGCATGGTGCTCTTAGCCTATGCTGGATGATAGTTCATTAGCATGGTAGTCTTGGACTTAAAAGCAAGGTAGCTAATTAGCATGGTGTTTTTTATTCCTTTTTAGCAAGTAGCTCATTAGCATAATGTACTTATCCTTTGTTGACTCGTAGTGAAATATCATGGTGTTAACCTTTCCTGATAAGTAGTACTTCTGCAGTGTTCTTAGTCTTTGCCAAGTTTTTTCTTTATTAGACTGAAGGAATAATGTTTTTGTTATAGATCATGTGTTATAAACAATGCAAAAGAATCCCACTTTGCATTAGGAAGCTAGATTGTTTGAATGAGCAGTGCTTAGTCTTTTATTATATTTGGAAGGCCAAATTAACAAAGTGGTTCAGGTATAATATAAAATTAAATTACTGCCTTTTGTCGTCTTTTAAACACAGTCAGGGGCAAAGAGAAAAATTATAAAGTAGAATAGTAATTAATGTTACAGCACAGCTTATGTGTTAGCTTAATTAGTTCAAGCCATTCTACTTGAAAATGGTGTAATGGAGGTGGCAGTACACAAATGTTTAAAATGTGGTGTATAGGCCAGAGCTTCCTGTAAATTTCTGCACATTATCACTTTTATGCGGCAAGAACATGTCACAGGAAGTTACTTTGGGGAGGTTAGTGTGATGCTTGCCTAGAGTGAGCAGCTGTTTCTCAAACCTCAGCTGTTTCTCAAGATGCGTCAATCGCAATGCAGTAACAGTCGACCATTCTGCATCGCGACTTCCCCTGTCCAGTTTAAATGTATTGCTGGGTCGGCATAAGAAATTAAATGGGATTTTTTTGGGATTTTCACGAAAGCCGCAGATGACACGCAAAGACCAGCAGACAACAAAAAAGTTGAGTGACTAATAAATGCATAAAATATATGTACAGTGTTGGTTAGGAGGACGCTAAGAGTGTTTACGGCAGCCTCAGAATCTCACTGTCATTTTGCTTTGTTTTTGCTCTGGTTGCTTCACTCGCCAAGGGGAACAAGAAATTTAATGTGGTTTTTCCAGATCGCAGGGGGCCTGTGGCCCTAACCTCTGCGATATGGAAGGGTCGACTGTATTCGGTTGATACAGTTGACAATAGGATACTTTGCTTTCCTCCCACAGTCCAAAAACATGCAGGTGGCCATATTAGCACTCTGAAATTACCTATAGTTAGAGTGTGTGTGTGTTTGTCCTGATATAGACTGGGATCCCAGTGTCCCCTGCCTTTCTGATATTGGCTCCTGGCTCTCTGTGACCCTTGTATCCTGTACTGCAGTTTCCCAATCCAGTTCTTGGGGTCTCACAGACTCCATGTTTTTGCTAGGGAGTTGGGAGGGAACAAAAATGTGGACCAGCTGTGGGTCCCTGTGGACCGGATTGGGAAACACTGCTGTACTCGATGGAAGTGGCTGGAAGATGTACATATAATATATGTGCATGTTTTCCTTTCACTCTCAGCAAGCCCATAAGGATAGCATTCCAGAGCAGATGGTACATGCTGAGAGCCACACGTTCAGGTTATCTGCAGGCTGAGCCCTATTTTTTCTCTCTCATTCTTGTTTAACTTAGAGGTTCTGATTTGCTTTAGCCTCCATAATACTCTCATAATGCAGCATGATGCTGAGGATTGTGTCTTAGTGTGTGGTTAGCTTTCAGTGGAAGCGGGCCCAGGAATTAATATGTAGTTTAGGAAGTGTTTAGGAAGCGCGCACGTGGCTCAGTGGGTTTGGACTTGTGCCCAAATGGTCACTGGTTTGACTTCTGGGGCTGGCAGACTGCTGCCTCCATTGGACCTCTGAACAAGCCTTTAACCCCCCCCCCCCTTGCCCTCACCTGTATATGTGTCTGTGTGTCTCATGGAGAGCAAGACAGGATAGACGAGAAGACAATTTCCCAACAAAGATCAATAAAGTATCTTAGTTCTGTAATGCTGTAGATTCATCTAACTCTCACAAACATCAGGACAATATTCTATGATTCATTGAGATTCAAAGTCTGTATGAGTCATGGGTAGACATGTATGAAGCATGGGTAGGCATGTATGAAGCATGGGTAGGCATGTATGAAGCATGGGTAGGCAAGCGCTGTAAAATACGTCCTTTCACAAGAAGTGGCAGCTTTCAGCTTTCGCTTTGTGGACTTCCGGTGTTTGTATTCATGATAGTACTCAGCCACTCAGATACAAACACTTTGCTGAGGTGTCAGGAAAAGGGGAATTACCAAAGAAGGGAAGTGATGTGCGTCTCTGTCCTTGGGGCTTATATTTGGACCCTGTCTCCTTGTTGAGACACAGCTCATGGAACTATTCCTTGGGCTGTGGAAATGTTTTTTTTATACAGTAAAATCCCGTTATAGTGGACTCGCTCATAACGGAATATGATCTATAACGGACGAGGTCCACTGGTCCCGGCCAAGCTCCTTTAAGAACATGCAGAAAAAGCATCGGATATAGTGGACTCGCATATAATGGAATTTTGCTTATAATGGACAAACAATTTGGTCCCCAGGGCCGCTTTTAACTGTAGTTTTGTTCGGCTATAACAGACATGCAGGCTCCGCCTACAAGGCGTGTGGCGTGCCGGTGATATCCAGCGCAGATACGTACGTAGTCGGGATTATTAATAGTCACGCATCTGGTGTATAATATAATATACCTGTATAATATAATAATCTATACCACAAGTGTGTCTGCTGAGGTGTGGCATGAGGAAATTGTGTCCTGTAGTTGTGTTCTAGGCATCCAGCAACTCTGGATGTGACGGACTTTGGATATAACGGACTGTTTTGCCAGGTCCCATGAAGTCCGTTATAACTGGATTTTACTGTAGAAGTTTAAAGAATACGAATCACGAATAAGATCTTTATTGTATTTAAATGTACACAGATTGCTGGGTGTGCCCCGATATAACGTATAACAGGTAAGACAATTTCAGGGCAATTTACACATGATTTTAACACAAGGTTGCCTACCTGCAGTTAGAAGCAACATATAATGGAATAATGGGTAAAACAGACAAATTACTGTAACTAAGCAAGGTTGATGCTAGAAAGAGTTACAGGATCTCCGATGACTACAGTGCAAAGTGTCTGTTAGCAGACCGTTTACTGTTGGTGAGGGACTCTGCTTTGGGAGAGAAGCTTTGTGTCTGGTGGTTTTGGCTGTCAGAGAGTAGAGGATGAGAGAGGTGGTGTCCTGGGTGAGAGGGGTCAGCTCTCCTGACCCTGTTGTTGCAGATATTCTGGAGAACCAGCAGGCTACACCCAATGATCTTCTCTGCTGCACTGGTGATTTATTGGAACTTGGTATGCTCCTGTGATGTAGAGGAGCCAACCTGCACAGCTGTGGAGGAGGTGAGGACTGCCTCAATGATGGCAGTGTAAAACAGGACCATCGGGGCCTGTGGTTCGAGAGAGAACATCTTCTGCTGTGCTCTCCTGGCAGTGCAGTCTGTGTTGCTCTCCCACCGTAGGTCCCTGGAAATTGTTTTACCCAAGAACTCAACTGACCCCTCAGTGGAAACCGTAGACTGTCTTGGGGTTTTGGGGGGGGGGGGTGGAGTGGGTTCATCACTATCTCTACAGTCTTTTTGGTGTTCGGAACCTTGTGAGTCTAGCTGTACCAGCGCATCAACTGCTTGACTCCCTGTCTGTAGCCAGACTCGTTGCCTTTGGTTATGGGGCTGTTCACGATGGTATCATACAAATTTCAGGATCTTCACAGACTGATCTCTGGAGCAGCAGACATTTAACCTGTAGCACCCAAGGAGCTGAACTGAGGTCCACAAACATAAAGAGAAGTTTTGAGATGCTGTAATATGAAGTGCAGGGACGAATTTACTGTGTCCTTGACTGACCTATTTGCTCTATATGCAAACAGCATGGAGTAAAGCAGGGGCTCTGTGATGTTCCTCTGGTGGGCTATGACCAGGTATTCAAACACCTTGGTTACACAGGTCAGGGCAGTTACCCTGTAGTCATTCCGTTCCATAGCCTTCACATTTTATGGACTCTTATGATGGTGGAGGATTTAAAGCATGTGTGAAGAGGGCAGATGTCCAGCGATTCATTAGAGATGTTAGTCAAGACTGGGTCAAGCCGTTCACAGCAGTGCTTCAGGGTGCATGCATAAATTTGATCTTTGATCTAGGCCAGTGGCTTTTTCACTTCGTGACTCAGAATAGTGTGAAAGTCATAGAAAGTAGTGTTGACACCCATAGACAATAAGCTGTCTGTGGTAGCCGATAGAAAATGTGTGTTCTGCGACAGTTGAAGCCCACAGACAGTGTGTCTCTCTGACAGCTTGACCGAAAAGCCACATTTCCTACACAGAAGCCTGTGTGCTCGTTCTGCAAGGTGTGACACGGAGCACTTACTCAGTTTCAACACACATGCATCTAATGACAGTAGGTCCTGATCTGAGTGGTTAAGCCAGGCCTCTTTCCATATCATATTTGTTTTCAATTAAGTGCTTGAAACTAATTCAAAAGGATTGAGTTGCATTAAAATGCAAAAAAAAAAACATTTGACATAATACTGTATGTAGCAAACCTCAACAGCCTGGGTCTTTCCTGCTTTCCTGATGTGGAGGTACATCTTTAAAATGAAGCCTTGTTTAACAGAAAGTACCTAATCTAAAATGTAAAAGTCTAAAACCAATGCAAAGTTCATTTTACATTAGATATTTAATGAATGAAAAAGTCTGTATGTCCGTCATTGAAGTGTGAGAGCTTCATGAGAGATAAATGTCACATAACCGGATATGGGTACATCTGCATCTAGGGTGTGATGGTGTGCTGGTTTCCTTGACGACGCACGGAGATGTCGGGTGACACCACCACCCTGGCATGGAAGTTGCCCAGCCCCACTGCCAAGGAGAAGCCTGATGATAGCTCTGGGGCCCCCCCTGTTGGAGAAGGGGGGTCGCCGAAGATCCTCAAAGTCTGTTTCATCAGTAACAGTTCCAACCTGGGCAAGAACTTCAAACTGGTCAAGTGTGACAGTTCATGGGAAATCAGGGTGAGAATTCTCCTGAAATTTATACCCAGTGTTAAACTGATTTTTATTAGGTTGTTGCTTTGCTGAAAGACGATGTGTAGCTTTTGCTTACACTTGTACCAGGACATTCATTGGAAGCTTCTCCTAGATGCAACTCCTGACAGCATGTGTGTTTACTATTTGCCTGACTTGTACATTGCTTTGGACCAAAGGGTTTGCTGAATATGGCAGCGTGTGGGACTGTGTGTGGCTCAGTGGGACAAGCCTCTGTATGAGTGGTCAAGAGGTCTCCGACTGGAGCCCAGCCTTAGGAGAATAGGCCCGTGAGCAAGGCCATCAACCCCCGGCTCCATGGGAGCCACTACAGGTGGCTGCCTTTTGCTGCCAAGCCTGCTCTTACCTTCATGTGTAGGGGGAGGCGAAAAGAGAATTTCTCCAAAATGGTCAATAATGTGTCATTTATTATTATTCTTATATATTTTTTTAATAATAATTGATACTTTTTTGACCCCGTGGGGAAATTCCCTTTATGCCTCCCCCAACTTGCTCTTTGTAGGCAAGAGTAAGCTGGCCACCTGTTGGGACACCCAGGGAGCTGGGGGTCGAGGGCCTTGCTGAAGGACCCGCAGACGTGCTGAAGCTGGCTTCAAACCGGTCCGATCACAGGCACACAGGCTTAGCCCACTGAGTCACGTGCTGACGTAAATGTGTCCTGTCGTTTATGTGATTTCTGGAAGTGAAGATTAGCTAAGCACTTTAGGTGGCTCTACAGGCTAATGGCACATGCTTGGAAGGTTGCTGGTTGAAATCCTGAGGGTCATAGAGTGATGTCACTTTTGGCCAAGCCCATTGGATAGCCTGCAGAGCAGAAAGAGCAGAAAAAGAAAGTTTTTTTTTTTCTTTTTTTTTTAAGAAAATGTTGCTTAATAACCACAATTTGCTTCGGCGTCTGATCTTCTGGATTAAGGACTCATGACAACAGTATAATAAAGTGATTTGTGTTTCATTTCTTAGAAAATGATGTGACTGCAGTTGTTCCACGTGTTGCTGTTTGTAATCATAATAGGCTGGGGAGAAGCGCAGGCCATTCAGTTTTATTTCTTGAGACGAGTTTGGCCCACATTTCACCTTTTCGTTGTCAAGTCTTAGAAAAAAGGAAAGCACGCACTTCCCATAATGTGGCATTTTATGTAGCTAAGCGATAATTTTAAGAAAAGGAAAGATGTCACATGAGGAAGTTGATTTTGTAACATTTAATTGGCTGCTGTCTACTTAGATTGGGTCAATTTCAGCAACGAAGGAAGTGTAAGTTCGGTGTTGTGCAAACTCCCCCAGGGCATCATCCAGTCCATCCTGACGAGTGGGCGGCTGGGTCCAAACATCAAGTACCCAGGATGCTATGGGCTGCTGCTGAAGCATCTGAAGTCGGATGAGCTTCACTGGCTGCACCCGGACCTGACGGTCGGGGAGGTGGAGCAGAAATATGAGAAGCAGCACCTGGAAGCGGAGTGGAGGTGAGGATCTTTCACATGAAGGGTTCAGGGGTCCAGACTAAATCAAGTAAAATCAAATTTTAGTTTGGAGCCATCTGGGAACCTTATGAATGTCGGTATTTCCAGACTTCCTCAGCCGCTAGCTGTGTTTGTTTTCAGTCTGATTAGAGATGATAGAAAAAGTGTTCATTAGGGGTGTAATAGTATATTCTCAAACTGTACTTCCCCAATTTTTCAATGCACACATGTAAATCATGGTATTACGCTATGCCGTTTTCCCATACGTATTGCCGCAAAAATAAGATGATGTATTTTCCCAAAAAAGTACCTAAAAGTTCATAAAAAAACTGGGGTTTTCTTATTTTTCAAGGGCTAGAATTTAAATGTTATTACAAAACAGCAGTCGGAGTAAATTACCCACCTCCTGCTTAAACGTAGCAACATACTTTAAATGTAATCGGCATCGTTTCAGCAATAGGACATTGTATGAGCGGCAGGGGCGGATCTACCGGGGTGGCATAGGGTGGCAAATGCCACCCTAAAAGAAAGCCTTGCCACCCCTGCTGCCATCCCAGTTGGCAGCAACGAATTAAAAGAAAAATTACGGCCAATTTGACATTTACGAGCGTGAATCTCCAATGTCCGACTGCGCTGAATGCAGCACGAGATAACGTCGAGAGATGACGGTCGTAACCCCCCCCCCCCCCCCTTGGTTTTCTTGGAAAAGTTGAGAGCCCTGGTGATAACTATGATTAAATTCAATATATAAACGTCTGCCATACGTTGCCACCCCTCAGAAATTCCTGCCCCCCTCTTGCCACCACATAAATATTTTTCTAGATCCGCCCCTGATGAGCGGTTATCTCACCCACTGTCGACAATTGGCTGACATAGTGTGACGCCCTGCGGTCGGACAGCAGCCGTCATACGTTGTACCGCACAGTGGGTGAATTAATTGTGTATTTGTGCATTTATGTTAATTGTAAATGTCGTTATTGTGTGATGTTTGCCGTGTAATGCGTACGTTTTTTCAGCGTGTAACCGTGAGAGTCATGTAAACTTGGTTTCTTTGTGCCGCAGCGAGTATTAAACCGATAGTGGCTGTTAATAGAGTATTTCATTTTTAAAAACTTGTCATCTCCTTTATTAAGATGACGCGATCACTAACCACAACGCTTTTCTTTTCTGCCTCCTTTACGTGGCTCTGCTGTATCAAAAACATTCTGCGCTCCAGAGGGTTGTGAAGTTTGTAATATTGATTATCTATCTGCACTTGTGCTCCGATTGCTGAGGTTACTTTTTGGCATTGATATGCTTAATTTCATATATGTTCTTGTCAAGTAAAAATATTTTTCTTTATAAAGATAAGATTTGGTAGTGGTCGCCTCGTTTCAGAGAGTGTTGACATGCTTATCTTTTTACAAATAACCTCACCATAAAGAAACAGGTTTCTCATTAGGGTACCAACTTGGTTTTGTACTGTTACTTTTACATTTAATATTGCCTATATGTGCTCTTTTTATATAATATAGAGAAGCCAAATCACTTCAAGGTTGTCAAAGCTTAGAGAAAATGTTAACACAGAATGTTTAGACAGGTAGCTCACTTAACGTTGCACTTTATTATTTTTTAATTTAATATTACCTGTATAGGAGCTGTACATACTATTCCCCTGTTAATTTTGCTGTTAATAATTGCTCTTCTGGTTGTTGCATACGTTTTTTATGCGTGGATCCAGAGTCCCATACAACCATTGTCCCAGATTGGTCATTTGTCGATTTTCATGAAGGGTTCAACTCAGTAGATCGAGCTGTTCTGTGGGATATCCTGAGACTTCTTTGGATCCCCCTGAAGTTGCTGCACGTTATGGACTGCCTGTACACTGGTTCTGTGAGTGTGTGCAGAGTGGAAGCAGAACCTCTGTGGTTCTAGCTGTTGGTGGGGATAGATTCACTAATCTTGACTGCCGACGATGTTGTGATCTTCTTGGAGTCAACGGAGGGTCTGATCGGGGCTCTGGAGAGACTGAGCAAGGAGTCTGAGTATCTGGGTTTGCAAGTGTCCTGGATATAAACCAAGATACAGGCCTTCAATGACCTCTTGGGCACAGCCATCAGCAGTATGTCTGTCTGCGGAGAGAATGACGACTCCCTCGAGCTTCACATAACTCGGCAGCGACATTCATATCCTTGGTGACTCTTCATTGTAAGTCCATAGATGGATTGGGAGAGCATGGGGGGTCATGAGGTCGCTGGAAAGGGGTGTGTGGAGCTCCTGATATCTTTGTAAGAGGATGAAGGTCCAAGTCTTTAGAGTCCTGGTGCTCCCTGTTTTGCTGTATGGTTCTGAGACATGGACACTATCCTGTGACTGGAGATGAAGACTGGACCCCTTCGTTACTATGTCTCTTTGGAGAATCCTTGGTTACCGCTGGGTTGACTTTGTGTAGAGCGAGCGCTTGCTCAGGGAGTCCTGAATGAGGCACATTACCTGCATTGTGAGGGAACGTTAGTTACAGCATTATGGCCATTTGGTGTTTCCCTGAGGGTGATCCGGCTCTCAGGATCCTCATTGCTGAGGACCCAGGCGGCTGGACATGGGTAAGGGGACGCCCACCAGGGGGCGCAGCAGATAGGTGGGCATTTCCATGGGTGGGACTGGACTACGTGTCGGCCTGGGGGGTTGCCAGGCGAGATCCCGAGGCATCTTGTCATGTGGTGGGTGTAGCAGGGTGTGGTACCAATTCACGATCTCCAACTTGACCTGACCAGATATATATGATTCCCTTTTTCCCCCAGATACGATCTACGGATTCGATATATTCCAGAAAATTACTTGGAGAAATTCAAAGATGACAAGACCACTTTATTGTATTTCTATCAGCAGGTAATTACTTATTAATTGCTTATTGCTTTACAAATGACTGCATGGATAATGTTTAAAATGTCATTGTTCAGTGCTTCAGTTCTTTGGATAAAGGCTTGGTTTTGCATTCAAGGTTTTTTTTTATTGATTTATACACATTTTTATTACTTTTAATGTATGTCTGTAACACAGTGGGAAGCAGTATTGCCTCGTACCTTTAAGGTTGCCGGTTTATATTCCATGTTATATGTGTTTCCTCCAGTCTCTAGTGCCCATTGTGTATCAGTACACGTGCCCTGCAGTGAGCAGAAGGCTGTTCAATAACCCTGTGATTCTGGATGCTAAACAGGTTCGGAGTGACTATATGCACCATCACGCATCCAAAGTGAGCGATGGGATGGCCCTGCAGCTGGGGTGTCTGGAAATAAGGTAAGCCAGAGGCAAAGTGAGCCAAGATGGCGGGAAGCTTGAGTGATCAATGGCAGTAAGCTAGAGGCAAAGTGAGCCAAGATGGTGGGAAGCTTGAGTGATCAATGGCAGTAAGACTGAGGCAAAGTGAGCCAAGATGGCGGGAAGCTTGAGTGATCAATGGCAGAAATGTACTGAATATCAGCAGCTGTGCATGACTCAGTGGCTTAAGAAACTGTGCGCAAGATTGGAAGGTTTTTGGTTCAAATCTCCAGGTCAGTAGAGTGATTTTACCATTGGGGCTTTGAGCCCTTTACTCACAATTGTCCCAGGGACTGTCTGACACTGATGAAAATGTCAGAAGGTTGTGAGGTTGTGTCACACCTCCAGGGCTGGTTTGCATTGCTATGATTGACTGTAATGCTAATGAATGTTTCCCTTTCTGTGCCTCATTGATTGGGTCATGATAGGGGTTGGTGTTTATAAATTATGTATCCACTTACTGTGGTATAAAATGTAATTTTATTTGCTAAACTGTTGATAAAGACCATTGCTTGATAGCACACATTATACCTATCACACAACAGAAATGTCTGAAGAATGGACACCAAATGCCACAGGAAGTTTGTTTTGCCATTTTTTTCTGCCTTACCAGTATTTGTGGTGGTACAAACTCCAGAATTCAGTTGGATAGCGGGTGTTATAATAAATTTAATACCATGATAAGAATGTAATGTCATAAAATGATCTTCATTGGTGAAGTAGTTCCTGCTGTAGTTTCAAGACTTGTACCAAAGAAGGATATAGAAAGATTAACTTCACAATATTTATACTGTGTCAAGAAAATACATTTAACTTACCAAATTACGTATTATGAGGTAAAAAATATTTTGCTTGTTTGGAATATAGTGATGAGAATAAAGTAAGCTAAAAATGTTTTTCTTCTGAAAACCAAGCTTCTATATCACTTCCCTAATATACAGCTGAATGACTTTAAACAAAAGAATAACAGACACATAAGAAATATCAAATCAGAACGTATTACCCTGTATGTTCAGGTGCGTGCAACCTATTTTCAACATTTTAAAAAAGAAAAATTGTACAAATACCTATTTATCAAACTGAGACTCGCTTGCCTTCATTCGTTTTATGTGAAGAATAAGTGAAGACAAATGAATAAGTGAACGTGAAACATTGAGGTTTACTGTGTGTCTTACTTATATGTGCCTGTCGGTCTGTGTGTGTGTGTGTGTGTGTGTGTGTGGGTTGGTTGGTTTTTACCACATTGTGAATACCAAATGTCCCCACAATGTGATGGAATATCTCACTTCCTCAGTTTTGTACAAAATCTGTGAATGTTTATAATAAAAACCAAGCAAGCAGGTTTAAATAAAAACTGAACAAAGTTTATTTTTCATAACGTTTGTCAGGGACCTAAGTGGAGAAGTGTGTCTTATATTTGGCACATTTGAGAAACGCCGTCCTACTGCTGTGGTCACACGGCACCTAAAGGAAAGTAAAACTAACTCATCTGAAATATCCAAACAAACCTTTATGACAAATCTTTTGAGAAATGTAATATTTTTATCTATGTAAATTCAGAATTCAGAGTCCTTAAGCATGCAAACAATATAATAACAATCACCTTGATTTGTTTAATCCACATAATAAACACAAATATCAACAAAATATGAATAACCCTTAAGATAATCGACGTTAAAACTAACATACTCCGTTTCTGCTAAATATGCAAGATTAGCAAAAAACTTTCTGACTTTGGAGATTTAGGGCGTAATGTTGACTTATGCATGAGCAGTTTTTGTCTTGTAGGTAAAAAGGGCAGAACAGGAGCCCCCCTGTGTTGGTTCAATATGGAACACAGCATTTTATTCTTCAATACGGGACAATCCCATACAGTACGAGATGGTTTGGTACTCTGCCATGTCAAATCCGTTCTCTAGAACAAGCAGCAAGGCAGTTAGGGGAAAAAAAAACAGCAACCATGCTATCAGCGTTTTCTGGTGCTACGCTATACCATGGTTATTATTGTAAATGAAAACTAAACATATAAGAAATGATTTAGCAAGCGGAAATAAAATAGAATCTGAAAATAAAATTAAGAACTACAATTAAATGAAAACTATAAACATTTCTTCCAAAATGAACTGAAATAAAATCAAATGTCAAATACTCTCTTACCTTTTACGTAAAAACTAATAAAACTACATTGAAAATTTAGTAAAACGATACTGGATTTCAAGTGAAAATAATATAAAAATAAACACTAAAGCAAAAATAACTATAATAAAACTCCAACTTTATTTTTGTATGGTTTATTTCTTAAAATATATTTTTAGTTTGCAGTCCATTTAATCCTTTTTCATATTCGGAGTCTGTTTTCAGGGAATCCTAAGGGAATTTCAAGAATTATTTGATGATAATTATCGATATCGAATGAGCTGAAAAATGATTGTGATAAAAATATTTTGCCATATCACCCAGACCCAGGTATTTATATTCACTCTGTTGTCATTTTATTTTCCTTTATGTTCTTTTGTTTTTTCATGTTATGTGACTGACTCGCATAATCAGTCTAACTTGGGGATATTTAATTTACTTCCTTGGTAATTCATATTTCTGCTTGGCCTGTTCCTTCCTTTTTCATGTCAGTGTTTTTGTTTTGCAGACGGTTTTATAAAGATATGAATGCCAAGGGACTGGAGAAGAAGTCCAATTTGGACCTGTTGGAGTGAGTGATCAACATTTATTAGAATTTTATTGGAATTAACACTATTTAATGGTTATATATTATGCAGCTGTAGATTATTTTTTATAGTGAATAATACTGCTTTTTTTTCTCTCTCTCTTTTCAAGGAAGGATGTTGGTTTAGATTTGTTTTTTCCACGAGAGCTAATTGATAGCATGAAGGTAACATTTGTCCTTAAATCTACCTTGTTGCCATGGACATGCCCCGAGCATGTGACCAAGGTGACCGATATCCCAGCTGGTCCCTAACTGCTGATGCTCTGTGACAGCCCAAGCAGCTGAGGAAGATGATCCAGCAGACGTTCCAGCAGTATGCGACGCTCAAGGAGGAAGACTGCATGATGAAGTTCTTTGAGACATTTGGAGACTTTTCCAGTTTTGATGATGAGGTGTTTTCCTGTGAGCTAGTGGTGAGAATCTCATTGAAGATCTGACTGTCTATCTCTCCGTCTGTCTGATCATTAATTAGTATGCACATGCCAAATTTTATACACATAAACATAATATTCCAATTAAGAAAAAGACATACAGCTTTTCATTTTGTCTGTGATAATAACTATCCAATCAAAATGAAATCTCCCGTTCTCCCATTGGATGATTGCTGCAAAGATAAATGTAAAAATTTCATATTGATTTTGTTTACATTTAATTTATTTTTTTGCCTTTTCAATAAGAGGTAAAAAAATATTAAGTGGCTAACAAAAATGTGTATATTAATATTTATTTAACGTATTTTTAAAGTTATTTCCGTTTTCTGTCCATTTTCAAATAGCAGATCAAGACTTTCCTCTGTATTTTTAGGGGACATTTTCACTTTAATTTAATCTTCTCGTTCTCCCTGCAGCAAGGCTGGAGCCTGGCAGTGGAGCTTGTCGTCGGGCCCAAGGGCATCCGGCAGCGCACTCAGAAGTACAGCGCGGTTAGAACCGCCGTCGTCCGCCCTGCGCCTTCCCCGAGGCTCTCTGTCTTCCTGTTTCATTTTTGGCATTGCGGTTCCATAACAAAAGCCCCGTATCTGTGGTTTACCTGGACAGATCGATCTGTGTGGAGCATGTTAGTGTCAGCATTGGGTTCGGTAATTCCTGCTAAGCATCAGCAAAGACAGCACGCCGAGCTCAGACAAGTAAACATAGTATACTGTACACAAACAGAACATCATAGCAAGGAATATTAAGGAAATAAATAGACATTAATAATAAATTAACTGGAAGTATAAAGCTCTGGAAAAAATTAAGAGACTGCCCTATATTTTATATTCATGGTTCTGCTGGCAGAAGGTTACACTGAGCTGCATGCGGCTTCCAGGCTCAATATTTCTAAGACAGCAGTACACAAGAACAAGGTGAAACAGAAGATACTATGAATGACCAAAAACCAGTCAGGTAGGGGGCAGAAGCACCCCCCAAGATGACCCCCAACTTTTCCAACGGTGCCTTATAATTCAGACATCAAGTGACCTTCATAAGGAATGGGAAACATTGAGCTGCTAGGACAGATGGGGCAGCTGGGACTCCTAGAAGCATTTAAAGACCCATACAGCAAGGAAGAAGCCCTTTATCAATGAGAAGCAAGGAAGAGCCAGGCTGGAGTTTGCAAAAAAAACATTTATATTTTACCCAAACACATTCCCATAAACTGAGAAATAAGTGAAACTTCAAATGTTGCCGTGGTCACTTAATTTTTCCAGAGCTGTATATGCAAAGAGATCGCACTGGACTTTCACTGCAGCAAAGGGGAGTGCTTCCTCACTGTGGGCTTTACCATCTACACTAGTGAAACAAGGGAAAAGCTAAAACTGCCATAAGTAGGAAGGGAACAATACGTATGAACATGACATAATTAATGTCTTTCTTATCCCCGCACAGCCTATCTACTTAGCAGCCTTCAAACAGGTTAGAAGTATGAAATGTTCTGTGCAGGAGAACAACAAAGGTCTGTTACACCTGGATATAGAAGGAGTAAAGCAGGTAAAAGGTTAAAACCTTTTTAATGGTGTCTGTCCTGTAAATGAAATCACCAGTGTGACTTTAACTTGTCTGTGCACTGGAATAAAGTAAGCAGTCATCTTGTTTGGCTCTTGATTAATGCACTCACTTTGAAGTGTGAATGTGGATTTCAACAAGTACTTTATAAAGTCATTTCACAGTTCATGGCACATTCCGTTGCACTTCTGTGGTATTTTCAGTGTATTAGTAGCACCACTAATTGACAGCATAAGTGATGGTTCCACCTTAATTTAGAAGATGAATTAATGGGTTTCTTTACAACTGTCAACTGTAGTTTAACTGCAGTAAGAAGCTCTTTTCTTTAAATCTCTGTAAGGTCTAGTGTATCTTGACTAACATTGCATCTTGTGACCTTCTCTTCAGCCGCTGTCCATCAACACAAATACACTGGCCGTGGCAGAAAACATGGCTGACCTGATAGACGGCTACTGTCGCTTGATGACCGGCTCGGATATTTCCTTAATTGTCAAGCTGAAGAAAGGTAAGTACAGTGGCTTTATGATAAAAATGACACATATTCTGATCATCTCATTAGTCTTGAATTAATAATTTGTTTATGTCTGTCATTTATTAGACAGGAAATCAAAACTTGCTCTCCCTGAAATTCCAAAGAAGTAAGTTGATTGTTAAACTTTAATGATTGTTCTGAACAACATGGAAGGGGGGGGGGGCACAAGGATTTGTACACATTGTGCAGTGTGTATTTAGACAATAAATACAGCAGCATAAAGGTGAGGAACAATTATAGTGAAGTGAATAAATGCATAAATGATGTTAAGCTGAAGTGACCCTGCTGTCATCTGTTGAGTCAGCGACTGTTGTCAGATGGGGTGTGATCACGCTGTTGTGTTTCTTCAGCAATGAGAGGAAGGAGTCCAGCAGTTCATTCAGGGGCAGCTTCGGTACGTGTCCTGTCCTCCCCCCTCCCCCCCCCCTCTGTGTTAATTTCTGCACATACCGTGCTGTCCATTAGTCTCTGACCAAAAATGATGTCATGCTTGTCTCTTTAGAGTCGGACATTTATGCCGAAATACCGGACGAAAGGCCTAAGTCTGGTAAGCAAAGGGCTGCCCCCCCTCTCTCTAAGACGATGTCATGCTTGTGCCCTCTAGCTTCATCCACACTAAGGTCATTTTTATTCCTGTTTGAGAGTAAATCACTCTCCTTTGGCAAAGGGAACCTCTTTTGTATAATTTATTGCAGGAGTCCCCACAATCATTAATGCTTATTTTCTGGTTTCCACTTTTAATATCATTTACTTTTAATGTTATTTACTTTTAAAATGCCAATGGGTATCCTTTAGAACAGGACAGAAGACAGACAGACAGAAGACATTTTAGAGAAATGCCATGCCTTGCACCTGAAAATTAGACTGGTTATGCATTTTAAGTGCCTATTGATGATGATATAAAACATCAAAATAATTATTTATAGCTGTTCAGAGCATTAGTTAATCGTTTGGTTATTTTACCATGTAACTGTCACTTCATAAGTCACTAATGTTTTGTTTTTTTTAATCTTAGTGGTAAAATATGGACTGGCAAGAGAAGCCATTGTTCTGGGCCGAATCCTAGGCGAGGGTTTCTTCGGGGAAGTTCACGAGGGAGTTTACAAAAAGTCGGCAAGTATCCGTGTCATCCGTGTCAGCTCTTTCGCCTCTGTTCCTTTCTGCTGGCTGCTTTCTCAGGTTTCTTGGAGGAAATTGTGGGGTGAGGAAAACATCATGACCTGCTGTAACATCTGACCACGCACAGTGTGCAATAAGTACACGTACTGGAATAGCTAGATATGATGTATTAACAAATATAAGAACTAATAATAGCAAATAATAAATGCCATATAATGTAGTACCTTCTGCGTAAAATCATTATTACATTCTTGGATGAGGATTTTAAATATTAGAAGCTTATTATATTTTGATTTGCTATTACATTTTGGCTTTTACATTATTCATAATTGTCTTGGTTACAGCTGCATTTATGTTAAAATTGAGATGATAGTATCAGATTAGTGAGGAAGGAGGGATCCTTTATAGTTATTACATTATGTGCAATTATTACGTTATGAGCTGCTACCAATGTTCTACTGTGTGCCCGAAACAGACGGGGGAGAGGATCACCGTGGCGATAAAGACCTGCAAGGACTGTTCCCCCGACGTCAGGGAAAAGTTTATGAGCGAGGCTGGTAGGAACAGTGATGATATTTACCACCACTCAAACATCGCATTTACATGGGGCCACTGAGGTCTGGGAACCCCCTGTTGGCCAACACCTGTCACTACATCTGCCCCTAGGAACCAACAATGTCTTTGCGCTATTAGCTTATTGAATAAGTTGATTTGGGTATATGTGTCCCTCACACTTACTGTGTTAAACCTAACTACATAGCTATAGAGTACAGAGCTGAGGCCAAAGGGCTTCCCTGAGGTTGCTTATTCTTCATTTTGAATGGATGGAGCCAGACTGTTGTGTATCTTGTCCCAAACCTCTTTGGTCCTCAGTGATCATGAAGAAGCTGGACCACCCACACATCGTTAGTCTGATTGGCATCATAGAAGAAGATCCTGTGTGGATTGTCATGGAGCTGTACAAGTATGGAGAGGTGAGTCGTCGCGCTGTATATCCTGCTAAGACGCTTTGCCTGTGCTTCTCCCACGTAAAAGTATTATAAGTGTAAGAGCTTGAAATGTTAGATGTCACCTTGAATGAGTATGTCCCGTATGATAACTAAGTACAGACAGCCGTTATCCATTCATACCACAGGATGTGTAATCAGAGAAGCAGAAATTAGAGGCGGGTGATCCTGTAACGCCACATTTCCTAGGCCGCGGGTTCGATTTCCACCCAGTTTGCTCATTCTCCTCGGGTTTGTGTGGGATTGCTCCATCTACTCATCTCAAAGTTCAAAGACATGTGGTTTAGGTGTATTGGTATCTCTGTAGCACTCTGGTGTGTGTGTGTGTGTGCGCATGCCCTGTGATGGACTGGCATCTCATTCTGCTTGTCCGTTGCCTCATTCCTTGTGCTTCCTAGGGAATTATAGATAATGAAGCGTTAGAATATGGATAAAAGATTATGGAAGGTGGATGGATGAATCAGGGCCACTGTGGGAACTATCAGTAGCAAGCTTCACCTTAGATATCCACCACATCATCTGCTGTCTTACTTTGTGTGTTTCCATCAGCTGCTAAATTGCTCGTGGTGGATAAGTTAATCTGCGCGTGGCCTTCTGGGGACATATTACGTACTAAAATTACAAGAAAACAAAAGCTGTCAAACAAGAGGAATGAGGAATAGACGTAGTTTTGTAGAGATCCATAGGCTCTGCAGTGCTCTTCTAAGCCTTCTAAAAGTGGATAAAAAGACTGAATTAAAGAACGTTAAATGGTTTGATGACGCAGGACAGACTTAATAGTGAAAAACCTTGTGTTTAATCCTCCCTCTCCTTTGTTGTAGCTGGGAAACTACCTGATAGAAAACCATCACACGCTGACCAACGTCACCTTGGCGCTCTACATCTTGCAGATAGGCAAAGCTCTTGCGTATCTGGAGGGGATCAACATGGTTCACAGGTAAATGGCGCTCTTTCCCTCCCCAGTGTTTTTACATCGCCAGAAGCCTTTATTCCCTAATGGGGCAGCAGGTGAACAAACATGGCAGGACAAGTATGCCTGGAAAATGGTTATTTGCACTGTTTTGCAGAGATTTTCCCAATATTGTGCGTGAGCAAATATCAACTTCAACTTCTTGGCAGAAACTGCTTAAATGTTTAGTTTTTTTCATCGGACAAGGCGAATGGGACATTTGATTCTTTGTTAAAATAGTATTATTACAGACAAAATGAAAAGCTGCATCTTTCTTTTTTTTTTTTATTGCAATATTATGCTAATGTGTATAAATTCTGATGTAATAAGCTACCCTAGGGGGTAGAAATTGATCCTGAATGTGCTGTCAGACGGAAGTATCAGAATTTACTGAAGGGTTAAATGGGCAAAAAGCATTAAAATTTCACTTTTTCTAGTGAAAGTCCTGTGTGCTGCTCTGCCTCTCTGGCTTACTGTCTGCACCGTTGTCCTCTGTGGTCATTCTGTTATTTGTAGCAGCTTCCGATAACAGCCGGAAAAAAACGCTTCGGTGATTCAGAGATGAAACAAGTAGCCCAAGACTGTATCATACATGTTGATGTGTCTGATACTAATTGTTAGTTTTCCTAGAATTATTTTTTTTACATTGTTTATTGAATTAGTTTAATCACAACACAAGATACTTCTGGTGAGATTTGCCTGCAATTTGGAACTGGTCATTTTAACAGCGTGTAAAACGTTCCACATGAACTTTATTCTGGGACCTTTATGGTAACTTATAACATGCATGTGTCCTTCGGCTAAAGCCTTCAGCATAGCATGTATTGATAATGTAAATCTTACATTATTATATTGTGTTATATTTTAGCATTATATGGCATACAGCAATTAGTGTTCTAATACAGATATCTTAAAGGGATATACCATCCATCCATAATGCCCACATTATGACGCAGTGTTTCATGCTGCTTTTAAGTAGCTAGCTATGCTGATTTAGTCCTCTACAGTCAGCTGATGCGTCTGCCTTGTTCACTCAGAGATATTGCCGTCAGGAACGTGCTGGTGGCTGCGGCGGAATGTGTGAAACTGGGAGACTTCGGGCTCTCCAGGTACATCGAGGAAGAAGAATATTACAAAGGTGAGCTTTAAGGTTACAAAGGTGAGCTTTAAGGTTTCACGGCTTCGGCGGGTAATGTTGTGCATAATGAATGGGTGCGAAATAAGGAAGCTGAGTCTCTGCGTTTCTCCACCATTCTGGCCTTACCTAGCGATCCAGATGTTGGCCTAATGGTGAATTCGTTGTAGCTAGGCTTATCATAACTACTTTTTTTTGTCCTAGACATTACTGCGATAAACAATATTGTCATTTTAAGATCATTTTATGACACTGATATAATGATATTAGCGAAAGAATGAAACGGCACTCTTTTAATGAACTTCTTGAGAATATTAAGATATGGAATTGGAATATCAAAAAATGTAAATATCCTAAACAAATAAAACATAAATAAAACCACAAACAAACAAAGACAAAATGGACTCTCAGGCTGTTAACAAGAACAGCATTATATATTAAACATTTGGCACAGGGGTATAGAGAGTCATTTTTTCCTTTACAGGCAATGTACTGGGTTGGTATATTGCCCGCATTACCCTGTAAAGGAACAAATTACTGTATGAGGCTCCGCTCAGTGACGCGAGCGATGATTCATTGGCCAGGGGAAGAGTATGTATGTTTTTGCCTCAGGATTATTATCATTTTGACTTTTTCATTTAGTTTTTATATTATTTTTTATTTTAGTTTGAAATCTAGTTTTGTTTTAGGTGTGGTTTCATTAGCTTATTTTAAAGATGTAAATCTGTTTGGTTGTTGTTTTACTTTGGGTTTTAGTCATTTTATTTCTAGGGATGGAAAGTTGTAGGACTTTGCTGGCTTCTACACAATGTCATGATATGGTGCTGTTGGCTGTTTCTTTGATTAAAATTCATTGAGTAGCCCAAAGATAAACAAACCATTTATTTAGCTAAATAGTATTTTAAATCAGTCACGGGAAGTATTTGACATTCGTTATTATTTTGTTGGTTTCAGAACCAATATTTATAGTTGTCTCTTAATTGTAGTTTTATTTTCGTTTCTTATTGTATTTCTAATTATGGAAATGTTTTCATTAATGATAACCCTGCATTATGTACTGTAAGTCCGTGGTTAGTTTTAGTTAAATTCTTCTTTATTCTTATAACAATGATGCCACACTTCATTAACATGACTTATAAAAACAGTTTGGCCTGGCATGCTGGCACTAAAAGTATGAACATTCAGGACCGTGGATGATCTAGCGCTGCGCTGTTGCACAGACTCACTTTCACGTGAAGTATGAATTAGCCCCGCGCTGTACTTGTGACGCAGATGAGAGGGCAGAAGCAGCGTGACTAAAATATTGGGAGCATTCATTCTTATGTAAACACAATTTTCCAATATTGAGGTCAGAAAAAATGACCATATATCGTGCGATAAGTTGATAATGTAGTGCCAGGCCTAGCTGTAGCATTGTGGTGTATGGGCCTCTTTTAACTGAGCAAGTAATCATGTGTCCCATCCTTGGGCAAGATAAGGCAAAAAATAATTTTATTAATAGTAGAAATGGCACCGATCCGATACCCATTATCAGTATTGGGCTGATACTGACCAAGCAGCTGATGGAGTAAAATCTGCAAACTGGAGCCTTAATCTGCATCCCCCCCCCTCACACAGCTTCTGTTACGCGGCTCCCGATCAAGTGGATGGCCCCGGAGTCCATAAACTTCCGGCGCTTCACCTCGGCGAGTGATGTTTGGATGTTTGGTGAGTGACTCCCCACACCATCCATCTGCACGGAGCGATTCATTCAGTGTAGGACTGCCAAAAAGAAAACGAGCACCTGCCAGTTAGCTGAATGGAAATTTGGTCGTTTCGTTTGCATACTGGCAGGGCCAGAATATTCATAAATCGTACTCCCCCACCCCTTGCTCATTCCACCTGACTCTCAATTTATATGCTTTGTGTTCCATCTCGCCTCTGAGGATTTTCATCATCCACCCACGGCGTATTGATGGGTGCCATCTTGAGCCGTTCCTCAGCGGCAAAAATATTTAAAGTCCATTAAACTGCAGCAGAGGTATTAGAGAGTTCCGTTGTGTTTTATGAAATAATAAACTACTCTGACAGGAGGTTAGGGTAGATCTGGGAGGAGGAGCACATATTTTTATGACCTGTGAATCCAATTCGCTTCCTTGACATGTTTATGTTGTATTTAGCGGTAGAGGAGTGCTGTCAGTGTGACGCGTTCTCGTCCTCAGTATTCGTCTCGATCTCGTTTATTTAGCTGGAAAGACACTACTAACGGCTGCCAAAAAAAAGAGTTTTCTAGCTACTTAGCTATCAGATTAGTTTTTAGGGTACTGGGTAACTGTGTGAGGTTAGTATTGTTTCTTACGTTTGGTTGTCTGTATTAGAACTGGCCTCATAAATAGCAGTGAGGATAAAATGACGATGCCTTTATTGTCACTGTATTCATAATACAATGAAATTTCAAATGTCCATTGCAGTGGTATTAAAACATACTGTGACACACATACAAAACATCAAAACAAAGGCAAAAAAAAGTAAAATGGCATAAGTGCAAGTACCCAGTTACAATATTTGACTGATACAATGAAATGCACAGATACAAGTTAATAAATATTATTAATAAAATATTACTAAATTTTATCAGGTGGGTTGTAGAGTCACTGTGTATGTTTATTGAGAGTCTGTATGGGTTTAGGAAAACAAAATTCCCCGGAAGTCTGCATGTTTCTATTGACCGTTACTGCCTGCCTGAGGGCAGAAGGTCAAATAGGGCTGAGAAGAGGTATATGGAGAGGTAGGGGGTGTCAGCAATACCCTCAAGTGAGGGAAGAGGACAGCCAATGATATTCTGTGCTGACTTTATGACTCTGTGTAGGGCTTTCCGCTCGGTCAGTCTGCATACCATACTGTTCAGCAGTATGTTCATACCATACTGTACAGCAGTATGTTCATACCATACTGTTCAGCAGTATGTTCATACCATACTGTACAGCAGTATGTTCATACCATACTGTTCAGCAGTATGTTCATACCATACTGTACAGCAGTATGTTCATACCATACTGTACAGCAGTATGTTCAGATGCTCTCCTTGGCAGAGCGGTGGAGGGCTGCCAGCTGCCTACCACACAGGCTGTTCTTCTTGAGGACTTGCAGAACGTGCAGGCGCTGCTGTGCCCTTTTTCACAGCAGCCGTGATGTTTATCGACCAGGAGAGGTTGTCTGATATGTGGGTCGCCAGGAATTTAAAACTGTGGAGTATTTTCACGCAGTCTCCATTTATAAAGATGGGAGAGCGGCCCGGTTCTGCACTTCCTGAAGTCCAGAATCAGTTCTTTTGTTTTCCTTGTGTTCAGTATCAGGTTATTCGCAGAGCACCACAAGGTCAGTTTATGGACCTCATCCCGGTAGACGGACTCGCCCCCTCCTGAGATGAGGCCGACCACTGCAGTGTCATCTGGAAATTTTATTATAGAGTTGGAGGTACTGTATAGGAGGGTGTACAGTCATGTGTGTAGAGTGAGTAGAGTAGTGGACTCGGTGCTGAGAGTGGGGGGGGGGGCGAGGTGGGCCCAGCCTGACAGAGAGGAGGTGCTTTGTTAGAAGGTCCATAATCCAGGTGCTGAGGTGAGAGGAGAGACCCCGGTATTTCACTGGGCATTCTGTCCCGGCCAGCAGCCTTCCACGTGTTCACTGCTCTGACCAGCTGTCTCACTGCATGTTCTTGTACTGCCAGTGCCTGGGTGCCTATAGTGGGGGGTGGGGTGTGTTACTCTGACAAGCTGGTGTAGCAGCTTGATGGGTGCAGATAGCATGTTCTTTGCAATCTTGTCAGTTTCCAGTGTGGGCAGTATTAAGGCTCTTTCTCAGCAGACGTGACAAACGCAAACCCATTGTTTCCTATGGCTTGGGTGGCGGTTTTCCACTGCGCTAAGAGAAGCACAGCAGTCAGGGTAGCACATGGCATGCAGTGATCTCGTGGCCAAAGGTCAAATTTGTTGGGCTTTTGCGCGCCGTGATCTGACGCATCGTTTGCACAGCCAATAGGAAGTCCGTGGAAGAAAATGGAGAAGATGGTCTTGGTCATCTGAGATTTTCCTTAAAAATATAATCCATCTCTCCGGTCCTACAGAGGTATTGGAAAGAAAGCTGTGGTTTGGAAAATGCATTGCTGAGCAAATTCACTTCCCGGTGTGTTTAGATGTGCGTGTACATTAATTAATGTACATGTATTGTTGGCTCAATGAGGCTCATATCAGTTGCCCGGTTGTTGTTGACAGTCCATGGTAGTGATATTCAACATAGACAAATAATAATATCAGATTATGCACTGAAAGCTATAAAATCTCAGCTGGGCCGTGTATAACTCCTGGCCCTGTGTGTGTGTGTTTGCGTGTGCAGCCGTGTGCATGTGGGAGATCATGAGCCGAGGCCAGCAGCCCTTCTTCTGGCTCGAGAACAAGGATGTGATCAATCACCTGGAGCAGGGGGTCCGCCTGCCCAAGCCTGAAGAGTGCCCCCCCACTCTCTACAGCCTCATGACCCGCTGCTGGACTTATGACCCCAAGGAGAGGCCCACCTTCAAGGAGTTAGTGTGCAAACTGAGGTACGGCCTGCTAACTTCCTGAGTGACTGGCTGAACTTTGCTGATGACACTGGGTACCAGTGAAGCACATGTGTTGTCATGTGTTTCTGGGAGCCGGATGCTACAGTGAAGTGCTATTTGGGTTAATTTCCTGTTATCAAAGCCTTGTGGTTGTAGTGTTGCTTTTTTTAACAGCATTTTAGTCGGGCGACATTTTTGGTGAAAAGCTGAGAGCGATTTTTTTTTTGTTTGTTTTTTTTTTTTTTGGTTGGCCTGTTAGGCTGCTGAATGTAGCTCATTAAACCAAGGAGCTGTATAAGTCGGCCATGTTTACGACCTGCCATTAAAGAAAACGTGTAGGTTCATAATGCTGAGATACGACTACTCCCCCCCCCCCCCCCACAGTGATGTGCACAAGATGGAGAAAGAGCAGGAGGCGGAGCAGAGGATGCGCCCCACCAGGACCTTAGACCCCAGGATTCCCTTAAATGACCCTCCCCCCAAGGTACCTGCCCCATCGTTAAACTTCCCACCCACTCCTGCATGACTCTCCTATCTGATTGCCCCGCACCCCCACTATTCTCTTTGCAGCCCTCGAGGATGAAGCCCCCACGCTTTGGAAACACCCTTGGCGTAGGCCTACAAATCCAGGTATGCTTTCATGTGCCTGATATCGCCACCTGCTGGTCATTATATGTAAGCTGTGTAGCTGTGGATTTCTTTATGCAAAGTGTATGTTTTTCTGGACAATTTAGAAGCACGTTGTTACATTTTAATTACATTTTATTACCTTGAAAAGTGTATATATATATACTTATTATACTGTATTACATATAGTATGCCTAATTCATAATTTAGATTCTGGATGACACAGGGACCATAGTGACACATGATGTATGAAGTAGGCTTATGGAATGGATGGATTTCTGGGGATGAGAACATTCCTCCGATGCCTCCTTGCAGGGTGTGATTGTCATAGCTGTGTGTGGCACAGTGTTCGGCGCCGTGTCACTTTGCGCCCAGCGCTCCCATGCGTCTGTCTGTCTGCCCGTCTGTCCGCACGCTGCCCACTGCTCCGCTTCCCCAGCTGCCCGAGTCGCTGTGTGCCAGCTCTCCTGCCATCGCTAGCCCTTGTGACTACCAGTCGCCCTTCGACTCCAGCCACTTGCTGCCGCTGCCTAAGTCGGCCCCTCGCCGCTGCAGTGTGGGGGTAAGACCGCTACCCGCTCAGCCAGTGCCGGAGAGAGCCCGGGGGTGGCCCTGGGGTGATCCTGGGGTGGGGGCCCGGTATCGAGGTTCCTCCCTTGCAAGAGCAATGCCAGACAGCAACCTCAGGCCTTTCAAGCAAACTTCAGGCTTTTAGTTTATTGCTGATGCTGCAGAGTTATGAGTAAACAGAGCCATCTCTCTGCTCTCCACTTCCCCCCCTCCCCCCCCCAAGCCCTTTCTGCAGCCATTTCCATGCTCTGTTCTGTTCTTTCATTCACTGGTTTGGTGCTTCAGTAATGGAGCAGTTTCTCTAATATTTGTCTGATATATCCTTCATGTATTTGTGTGTCTAACTTGTCCTCGGCTCGTGTTCCCCAGCTGACCTTGTTCTCCCTTTTTTGTGGCCTCATTAAAACCCAGAGTAGCTTTATTTTTGAATTTGCACTTTGTTCTTCTTTGTCACCACACCAAGTCACCACAGATTTGGGGTTTTAGCAGAGACTCACCCCTCTTTTCACCAGAATACCTACAGCAGCCCTGCCTTTTCCGGCTCTAATTAACGTCATAAAAAGACAGTAAGGCAAATGTGTAAAAAAAAAAATAATAATCTAAGTGAACGAACAAAATTGCATTTGAGAAATCTTGTATTTCAAAAAAGTTAAAATGCATGCAAAGCATGTTGATCTGTCCGTTTCCATGGAAACTCACTAAAAGTGTGGTGAGTGAGATTAAAGCAACGGTCTGCGCTTCTCAAAGGAGGGAGATCTGATCATAGAGCCGAGCAGCATGGAGGACGCACAGCGCATCTGGGAGATGGAGCGGCAGCGCCTGCAGGAGACGCTGAAGAGGCAGAAGCAGGAGATGATGGAGGACAAGAAGTGGCTGGAGAAGGAGAAGAAGCTGCTGGTGAGGCACCGAGAGCTGAGGGCTTTGGGCTTCCGGCGGGTTCTTCAGAAGCCAAATGCGGCCTGTATGGGCATGGAACCCACGGCCTCGACGCTCTTACCACCTGAGCTAATGAGCTGATTACATTTAACTGTCTCATCATTCACAGAACAAATTATGTCATAGCCAAACATTTTTATATACAAATATTTGATGTTCCTGTTGATTGTTTCCTTGTGGACTTGTATGGTAAGTATAATATTTAAACACTGTTATAGACAACTTTGATATCTATAATGCATTACTGTGCTTATACTGATCCACAGCCCCATCATTATGGGATGCTAGTTGTTTAATCATGAGGCCATTCCTTCACCCGTCTAGCTTTGTTTAGACTGTGTGGGTATGGAGACTGGCTCTACATTTTGTAGGCTGTCCAAGACTCAGGGAATCTTAATGTTCCTTCCTTTGTTATTTCGTCTGACCTCAGGCTGTCATGAGCTCTGCCTTTGGTGTCTTTGTAAGTGCTGATTTGTACATTCTCCTGAGCATGCAGTCAGTTCCTCACCACCAAATCATCTCGTCCAATCACAGGACCCCATGATGCCAGATGACCTGCCCACTCCAGTGGTATAGTACCTTCATTTTGTTTTGTTTTGTTGTCTTTTTTAAAATCATTTTATGCGCGTTATTTTGTTTCAATTAACTCATCTGACAAAAATGTGTCACTCTTGCTTTTTATACTTAATCGTGGTTGAATTTAGTCCAGCATATTTCATTTTGAGCACAAGTAAATCACGCGTATAGTTATTCAAATCAGTTTCCGTTGGTTTAAAAAACGTCACTCAGCCTATTAGATGGCCTGTTTTGAGCGGTTTGAATAAACTTGCACTTGCTTTTTCTAGACTCCTGAACGGGAATCGGGATATGGTGAGTCCTGAATCGTCCCCATAGTCTTGGCCTGGTATCACTCCATTCTCTTTCTGAATTATGGCTCATTGTGGTCAATTATGCCCGAGTTCTAAATCCAGACCAGTCTATAGTCATCTTAAAAATTCATATTGACAAATAAGGCTAGATTTGAGTCCTAGTGTGACGTCAAAACGAAGCCATTTCATGTTATTCAGCTAATTGTAGTTACTTCTACAAAAGTATTTTTATCGCCAAATGTGTTTGCTTCTATATTTAATTCTGCAGTGCTTGTTCATGTGCGGTGATGTGAAAAATAAAATATATTTATGGCCTTCCTGAATGAGTTTATCAGTGTCTTGTTGTTTTGTAGGAATTTTGGCTCACTCTTCTTTAAAACACCCCTTCCCCTAACTGCTGACTGAAGACTTGTTTATGCACAGCCCACAGGGCATATGGTGTTTGTGGTGAAACTCTGCGTCTGGTTATCACCAAACACAGCTCTATAACCAGGTCCCCCTTCCTTCGCGAAACCTAGACCGTTGCTTTGACCTCATTCAGCAAACTTGTAGTGAAACTCTGTGGAAATGGACAGAACAACATGCTTTGCATGCATTTTAACTTTTTATAACACACGATTTCTCAATAACAAATTTTGTTCATTCATTCTGTTTCTTTTCTTTTTGACATTTGCCTCACTTCCTTGTTTTGCCTTGTTTGGTGTTTATGACGTTATTTAGAGCTGGAAAAGGCAGAGCCCCTGTAGGTATTCTGGTAAAAAGAAGGGTGAGTCTCCACTAAAACCCCAAATCTACAGTGACCTTGGTGTTCAGAGAGAACACCAAGACATGGTCGTCACAGAGTGTGACACACAGGTGTGGCGACAAGGGAGAGTGAAGGGCAAATCCACGAAGAAGCTCCTGCAATTTGGCTGCTTACTTTTTTTTTTTTAAATAACCCATCCATCTTCCTTTTAGTACCTGTTCAGGGACAGTGGGGGGGGGGGTGACATCTATCCCAGGCAGCATGGGGGGCAAGCCTGAGGTGCACACTAGGAATGGGACACCAGTCCGTCACAGGACACACACACCTCCACAGTCATACTCTATACGTCTTTTGGAGACACCAGTTAATCTGAGTTCAGAGGACACTGGAGTATCCACTCAACACTGCGAGAAGGTGCAGACTCGACAAACGTAGGGTTTTTGCCCCCAGTGCTAGAGGGCTGAGGTGACAGTGCGGCCCACTGCGCCGCTGTGCCACCCTTGTTGAATAAATAACGCCTTAGTGAAACCTGTTAAGTGTTTTCTGTTAACTGAGGCTGGATTTGTCAAGGTTTTGAAGCCGGTGAGACCAGACTAATATTCCTTATACTCTGATACATAACAGCACATAATTTGACGTAGATAATAACCTGCAAAGTGATTATACCCTAAATACACTGTACTTACCTTGGTCCTGTGCTGCATAGGAAGTTGGGTATTATAGGCATCTTTTATTGCATTCATTATTTACAGACATCCTGAACTGTCTCTGTTTCTGTCCTCCCCAGCTGATTTCACCGCCCCCCCAGAGAAGCCCCCAAGACTGAGCACAAAGGTGACTATCACGCTGGCCCGCGTCCTCGCCCTGGCCAGCAGACGCCAGCACCACCCTGTTAAAAACCTTTGATGTATAGCAGGCAGAAAGTTTCCTTCTGCTAAATGGCCTCATTTAGCAGATGGTGGTAATTTGAGGCGTGGAGGCCCGGGGGAGGGGGAGGGGG